CCTAACCCTAACCCCTAACCCTAACCCTACCCTACCCCTAACCCGAACATGAACCCGAACTCTAACCCATACCCTAACCCGAACCCGAACCTGCACCCGAACCTGTACCTGAACCCTAAACCCTGACCCTGACCCTGACCCTAACTCTAACCCGAACCCTAAACCCTGACCCTGACCCTGACTGTGACCCTGACCCTGACCCACACCCGAACCCGAACCCTGACCCTGACCCTGAACCCTGACCCTGACCCTAACTCTAACTGTTAGGGTCAACTGTAATGTCTCCTTTTTCATCTATGATTTTTTTCTTATCCTTAGTCTAGTTAAAGCTTGTCAGTTTTGAGTTTTCTAAAATACCCCAGCTCTTTGTTTTTTGACTTTTTGTAGTTTTTGTTTCTATTTTTACAATTTCTCCTTTAATCTGTAAGATATTTTTTCTACTCATTGTAGCATTTGATTTTTCTTGTTGTACTCATTACTGGAGCTGTATTGTCAGGTTGGCTATTTGAGATCTTTCTACTTTTCTGATTTGTAGGCCTTTATAGGTATGCACTTTTCCTCTTACAGCTGCCTTTGCTGAATCCCACAGGATTTGTTATGTTGTGTTTCTATTCTTATTTGTTTCAATAAATATTTAATTTCCTTTTTCTTTTTTTATTTATCGGCTGTTCATGAGCTTGTATTTTAATTTCCATATATTTGTATAGTTTTTAAAGTTCCTCCTGTTATTGATTTATAATACTCTTCCACTGTGGTCAGAAAAGATACTTGACATGAATTCAGTTTTTAAAGATGTGTTATGACTTGTTTTTTGGCCTAACACATAGTCTGTCCTGGAGAATAATCCATGTGCTACTCAGTAGAATGTGCATTGTGCAGTTGTGGAATGGAAAGCTGTGTAAATATCTGTTAGGTCCATTCGTATAAAGTTTAACTGATGATATTTTGTTGTCTGGATGATCTGTTCATTGACAATAGTGGGGCGTTGGTTATAGGGGAGTGTGGAGGTTCTCTATTATTATATTGCAGTCCATTTATCCTTTAAGGTCTGTTAATATTTGCTTCTGTATTTAGGTGCTTGAGTGTTGGTTGCATATGCACTTTTATTTGTTAGGCTGCTGTTTATTTCTTTCTGATTATATACTTATTCTTATTTTTTCTTTTTTTGACTTAAATTCTATTTTATCTAAGTATAGCTACTCCTGCGTTTCTGTTTCCACTTATGTGGGATATCTTTCATGACCCCTTCACTTTGTCTATGTAAGTCTTCATAGGTGAGCTGAGTTTCTTGTAGGCAGTATATAATTGGGTCCTGTCTTTTAATCCATTCAGCCACTCCTACTTAATTTAATTTAATTCATTGATATTCAGGGTTATTACTAACAGGTGAAAACATACTACTACCATTTTTTACTTGTTTTTGGTTGTTTGACACTTAGATCCTAATGCTGACTACAGTTCCCTCCCGGGACCTCCCCTCTCCTTGTAGCATGCTGGGCTTTCCCTCAGAAAACCCCATGTCATTTCCTTCAACGGAACATCAATCAGCTTCACCCACAGTGTCTGTATGTCTCTGTCCATAGCAAGTGTTTTTATTACTTTAAAATATAGATGTTTACCTTAACCTAGCCAAGGACTTAGGACTCTTTTTCCAAGCTCTTTTAGATGAAGTAATAAGTGCAAATATTAGAGACGAGTGTATATGTATAAATGTATGGGGAAAAGATGTTGCCTAGCTGTACAAATTAGCTTTAACAAAACTCCTGATTTACATTATTTAATTGTGAGAAGGGAGATTCTAACTCAACACAACAACAAAATAAAAGCCTTATCCCTCTGCTCCGCCAAAATATCCCGTTCAGAGCCTGTGTTGTGTGTACACACACGTGTGCACTCATCCCCACCTGACCGTATCAAATTATTATTTAAACTAGATATGTTTACTTTTTTGCATAGTAGTACTGGTTTCTGGAATGAAAAAAATAAAAATAAGAACAGGAGAATAAAACTGTTTAAATGTGTCTCCGGGTGGACGCTGTGGCCACGGCACCGACCCAGCCGACGGCGCGGAGTACCCGCGTCTCAGGAAGAGGTTCCGGCGGGGCCTCCCCCGGGGCCTGTCCCGCGTCCACGGACCACGGAGCGCAGGAGCCGCCGCGCCCTCCCCGAGACAGCGTCCCGAGGCGCTCCACGGGAAGGGCCCAGCCGGGCGAGGGGAGCCCGGTCCCCGCACGGACCGCCCTGAGCCGCGGGGACGAGGAGGGACTCCCGGCTCCACCAGCGCCTGCCCCAGACGGGGACCCGGGACCCGGGACCCGGGACCCGCGAGGACCTGGAGCCCCGCCCGCGGCTGCCGGGAGGCGGACACGGCAGCCCCTCCAGAGCCGCCGCCCCGAGGCCGTTAGTTCCGCCAGAGCTCGCGCGACTTGAGAAGGGGCGGCGCCCGGCCCCGAAGGGGAGCGCGTGTCCCGGAGGCCGCAGCCGGGGAGCTGCTCCGGGGAGGACTCGCCAGAGGCCAGTGACTCCGGCGGCCCCGCGCTGGCCTCCCGTCTGCGGAGCCGGGTGAGCCGGACCCGGGAGCGCGGCTGGCTGCTCGCGGCCTTCGATGGGGAGTGGACAGCTTCGAGGGTTGCTCCTGTGCCGGCCGCGGGCCGCGCTGGGCTGCATCCCCGCCGCACCTGCCTGCGCGGGCGCCTGGCACCGCGGGCGGGAGCTTCTGGCCGTGCTGGTCAACGTCCCCAAGGAGGCTCCGCTGCCTGGAACAGCAAGGCCGGGACCAGCAGGGCTGCACCGCCCTGCACGTGGCAGCCGTGTACCTTGGAGATGGTGAAGCGGCTAGTGCGGACCTAGGACGCCGATATGGACATTGGGGACTACACTGGGAAAAGGGCCTCCCAGTATGTGAGTTAGAGCATCGCAGAGGAGATCCGAGAACCTGCTGGGAGCCCTGGACGAGGACGACGGGGAGAGCACCGCCAGCAGCGGGGGTGGGTGCTGAAGATTTGAAAGGTGCCCCCTCCATCTCATCACCTACAAACTCTCACACATCCTGGAGGATGGGGGGACCCTCTTCACCGTCACCACTTGGCTGAAGGTGGTCCAGAGGCGAAACCAAGGATTCCAGGGCACACAGCCTCGGGCAGGACTAATGGACTGAAAAAACACAGGCTCAACAAAATCCACTTCACAACCCAGATGGTTCACATCACACCCTCTTTCAGGGACCCAGAGCAGGGAGTGGAAGAGGAGGAGGAGGAACGCTCTCCTAAAGGCCACTTATCCTATTCCTTCAAATTAAGACCAAAGTCCAATGTATTTAGGTAAAAATAATTTCTTTTAGAAAATGCCAAGGTTTGTCTTCTGAAATTTAATAACAGAAACGAAAAAAGAACACTAGAGGTAAGGAAGTGAGACCAGAAAATACAAACTAAATTATCCTTACTAGGTTGGAATGGATGGGGCGGAGTTCCCATCAGGCTAGCATTCTGGGGAAAGTGGATTTCTTTTTAAGAGATTCATCATATCTTACCCTGTGCCCCATTTCTCTCCTCTACCTGTCTGACCTGGCGTCCCTATTTCGGGAGACTAGAAGTGGGGGGAAGAGAAGGGATGACTGTTTCTTTGCATTGACCATTCCTGGATGCCATGCAAAGGAAGGAATATTGCGCTTTTATGTATCTGTTTTATTAAGTGGTTACTCTTCCAAGGACAAAAAAAAAAAAAAAAAAGATTGTTATGAAACTGGTAGGATTTGTAAGTGCAAATACTACATGCTGTCTTGTTTTTTTTTACCAGTTGCATTTGCATTTTAAGGTACTACTGGTACAGCCATGGGGGAGAGCAGTTTGGAGGTTCCTCTAAACACTGAAAATAGAGGTACCACATGATCCAGCAATCCCACTGCTGGGTATATACCCCCAAAATAGGAAATGACTATATCTAAGAAATATCTGCACTTCCATGTTGGTTGTACCACTGTTAACAATAGCTAAGATTTGGAAGCAACCTAAGTGTCCATCAACAAATTAATGTATTAAAGAAAATGCGGTAGATATATACAGTGGAGTATTATTCAGCCATAAAAAAGAATGAGATTCAGTCATTTGCAGCAACATGGAAGGAATTGGAGATCATTCTGTTAAGGGAAATAAGCCAGGCACAGAAAGGCTGACATTGCATGTTCTCACTTACTTGTGGGATCTAAAAAATCAAAACAATTGAACTCATGGACATAATAGGTAATAGGGGGTTGGGGGAGAAGGCAGGGGATGGGTAATGGGTACAAAAATAGTCAGAAGGAATGAATAAGACATACTATTTGATAGCACAACAGGGGGACTCTAGTCAATAATTGTACATTTAAAAACAACTAAAAGAAAGTAATTGGATTATAACACAAAGGATACGTGCTTGAAGGGATGCATACCCTGCTCTCCATGATATGATGAGTTCACATTGCGTGCCTGCATCAAAACATCTCACGCACCCGGTAAATATACATGCCTATTATATACTCACAAAAATGTTTGAAAATAAAAATAAAGGAACTACTCAAGGTCAAGCCAGAGTTGAAATGCAAAAATACTAATTAGAGAATAATGGGAATACAACAGGAATCTTGTTGGTATTCTATTTACATTGTAAGCAGCAGTTCAATTGTTCTGTAAAAGCAATTTCAATTTTAATCACTGAACTAAAGAAATGAGCAACTCTGACTTCCGTAATATAGGTTCCACCTAACCATCTCTAACACCGCTGTCAAGGAGGACCAGTGTTAAGGTACATTATTAACAACCACACAAATTTTTATTTAAAGAAAAGAATACTCTTAGCAGCCTATGGTACTTTTAAATAAAATATTGCCTCTCATTCTAACTCTCACTTGTGTTGTCATTCTAAAAGTGTGAATTTGCTGAGGTTTATATTCTGGGTATTACATAACCAGGTTCTGTTTGGCATAACCGTATTTAATGATGCTTAGAGCTGAATTACCTACAGAAACTTTCCCATTTATTTAGCATAAATTGGCATAGATATTAATGAGCCCATACTTCTGTGATATAATTATTAAACCAACTTAATGATTCTCACATAAGGTGTGAATTTATTTTACTAATGCATTCATAATCTATGCTTTGTAGCAACATTTTTCAAATGTTTAAAATGCTAAATCTTTTCAATTTTCCAATCTTTTCTTGACTCTATTAGATACCCATAGTGTAGTTACTGAAAAGCTGGGTAACAAATACACCTATTTAAAAATGGCACTACTTTATAAAAGCGACTAGAGAAAAGATGGGACGATTTCTATATTTAAATGCTGCTGGCAATTGAATTCCTTTGTATATAAATGAAAGATACCATTCATTAAAATGAAAGACTTGTTTCAAGTGTGGTTCTGAATTACATTTCATTCATTTATGATAGAGTAAATGGCTTTATAATTACTTTAAAAATTAACTCACAAGTATATTAAAACTGTTCATTGCAAGATTAGAATCAACTTTTAGGGGAACTAATTTAAATGAGCCCTTCTTCCTTAGTCTTTTGAGTCTCATATTTGCTGAAAGTACCCCCAGCTGGCAGGATAAGGGAGTTCACGGACCACAGGGTGAGTGAACCCATGCACAAATTGCAAATTGCCCAGAGCTATGACATTTTTAGACCTTTAATTTTCCAAGTCATAGAAATGTGTTACAAGTACGTCACATCTCTGTCTAAATGGCAATTGAATTTCTTTAAACATAGGTAAAAAATGCATACAACTATAAATTATTATCCATTAGTGTGCCTCTATTTTTGCTTTAGAATTGTGGAAGTGGACCCTGTGCATTTGGAAAACACTTTCATGCCTACACATAGGTGAAAAAAATCTAATGTTGTATAAATGAAAATACTTTCTCTGAAGGTAAAAAGCATCCATTTGTTCTAAATCTATATATATATTACGTGTATCTAGTACAGAATAAACTATAACTTCTCATTGAGGAATCTTAGGTTTTACAGATATGTAAAGCTAAAGCAACTCTAAAGAGTAGACACTTCAGAACTGGAAGATTCTGGTCAAATGTTGAGAGCAGACACTTTCACTGAAGGTCCTGGTGAAATGTGGGTAACTAATTGCTCAAAATCTGTAATTTGCTAGATACTTAACTATTACTATTAAGTTAAAATGTCATTTAACTTATGTCATGGTAAATGTCATTTACCATGATTTTCGCATTAAAAGCTTTAACTTTTCTGGTAAAATAATATTTCAAATGTTCAATTATTCTGAGGAAAGCTACTTCTAGCATTCTTTGTCATGATGGGCTTGTGTGCAGTAAGTGGAGCGTTTTCAGTTACTTACCTCTACATTCTTCCGGTTTTTCAGTTTCCAATTTAGATTATAAAAGGCAAATGATTAATTTAATTTGATACTCAGAGTTGTGTTTGCCTTCAATGGACAAATACATGTCAGACACTTTGATGTTTATTGATATGACACTGTGTGGTTAAACCACTCAAATATGTCCATGTGTTTCTTATAGGGTACACTTGAAATAGTAGTGTTTATGCAACTCACTTATGTAACTTAGAAATCTGGTACTATTGCATTCAGGACTGAAATCTTGGAGTTTAGGTGTCTTGTCTCTCATTTTGAAAATAAGTGAAAGTTGAGAATGTAAAATCTATAAAGTTCATTTTTTAACTAGGAAAAAAACACAAATTAATGACAGACACCAAATTACATATCCAAAAAGCTCAGAGAACACCAAGCAGGATGAATATTTAAAAAATATACCTAGGAATATCATATTCAAACTGCAGAAAACCTATAACAAAGATAAAATATTTTAAAAAGGCAGAGGAACAAACACATTGTATACAGAGAAACAGACATAATAATTACATTAGACTTCTGCTTACAATCCATGCAAGTAAGAAGTGTTGAAAAAATTAGAATACAGCAGATATTATCCAAGTATTCATTATCTAAAACTGTGAAGCAAAAATAATTGTAACATGAACATATTCACCAGCAATCTGAGCACTCATATTAGTGTCTTTTTTGGAGACAATTTTGTCCCCCCAGAATTCCTAACCTGAAACTCTATCTCCCAATGTGACTGTATTTGGAGAAGGAGCTTTTAAGAAGGTAAAGTGGTGGCTCTCGCCTGTAATCCCAGCATTTCGGGAGGCCGAGGCGGGCGGAACACGAAGTCAGGAGATCGAGACCATCCTGGCTAACGCTGTGAAACCTGGTCTCTACTAAAAATACAATTAGCCGGGGATAGTGGTGGGCGCCTGTAGTCCCAGATACTCGGGAGGCTGAGGAAGGAGAACGGCATGAACCCGGGAGGCGGAGCTTGCAGTGAGCCAAGATCGCGCCACTGCACTCCAGCCTGGGCGACAGAGCAAGACTCCATCTCAAAAAAAAAAAGAAAGAAGAAGAAGGTAAAGGTTAACATGGGGGCAAAAGGATGAGGCCCTAATCTGTTAGGACTGGGGTCTTCATCTGAAAAGGAAGAGACACCAGAGATATCTTTCTTCTCTCTCTCTCTCCCCACCTCCCTCCTTCTGTCTCTCTCTCTCCCTCCCTCCCTCTCTCTCCTCACATACATTTAATTGTGAAATTGAGGTATTTGTTAGAACATAGATAGTGGCATTTTAATAAAGTGTTACTCCTCTACTTAAAAAAAAAACCCACACAAAATTTTGAAACATTCTTTTTTGAAGATGAGGCCAGGCATGGTGGCTCACACCTGTAATCCCAGCACTTTGGAAGGCCTCTAGGCAGGTGGATTATCTGAGGTCAGTTCAAGACCAGCCTGGCCAACATAGCGAAACCCCATCTCTACTAAAAATACAAAAAATTAGCTGGAAGTGGTGGTGGGCACCTGTAATCCCAGCTACTCAGGAGGCTGAGGCAGGAGAATCCCTTGAACCCGGGAGGTGGAGGTCGTGGTGAGCCAAGATCATGCCATTGCACTCCAGCCTGCGTAACAAGAGCAAAACTCCATCTCAAGAAAAAATAAATGCACACAAAATTGGGATGTGCCCCTGTCTTTTAAGCAGATATAACTTTACCATTACTAAAATTGAGCCTCAGAAAAATTAAGCATGCTACACAAACTTAGTCAGAAAATGAATACTGAAATGGAAGTTTGAATCAAATATTATTTATTTTGAATACCATGCTAATGCCATAACTCCTGTAGAGAAGGCTCAGGTGCAGCCACAGAGACACTAACCCACTGACGGATGGACAGACGTGGGCAGGCTCCGTCTCGCTGAACCATCCACCACTGCCACAGCTGCCTGCAACAGACACATCAGATGACACTCCAGGCAAATAAAGGATTTTCAAGGCGGACTTACTGGTTTTAATAATAGGTCCTGGGGTAGAGAAGTCCCTCAATCCTTTGTGCAACAAGTTTTGAGAAGCAGGTAAGCTATATGTTTTGTAGTTTTGTTTGTTTATTTCATAAATGCATCTACAAGAAGGCTAATATTGACTGAACATTTAAAGGGCTAAAATATGCTTTGTGTTTTTATATGTGGAAACTACTTTCAACCCAATGACTATTTATTGTATCATAGCTTGTGATGTATTCTGTTCACGGCTTTTAAGGTGCATTGTGCCATGATCTACTACCATTCTAATTGCTTTAATTAACAAGTCATTACCACACTACTGTTACATCTTAATTATGCATACAGACAGGTAGACTTATTTTACATATGTGAACAAATTGTCAAAGCAAATGCAGATTGTATTCTGCAAGTAAAGTCTTTTTCTCTCTAAAATTTCTAGGGATGTTCTTTAAGTGAAATTCATATTCAAACTGAAGATTTTAGTTCAAAGAACTGAGTGTAGATTAAAGGCTTTTTGTGATTTAAACATAGTCAAGAGTACACTGTGATATATCGTTGAAGTTATGCAATAAAATGTCTCTAACCTGCAAACTTAAATCTATCAAGCAGATGGCACAGTACTGAATTTGAAACCAGAAATACTGAGTTTTTATATAGATGCTTCATAGATTTCTTTTATGATAAGAGCACATAACTCTCCTAAACCTCACACCAACTCTTAAATAGGGATAATAAGTCCACATCAATGCTGATGCCTTAGCTATTGTTAAACTCTTACAGTACGATGTAAAGTGAAAGTACAATGTAATAACACTCCTAGGCCAACTTTGACCAGTTTTATACAGAAACATGTGCCAGCTTTTCTGTTTGCAAGGATAATATCAAAGCAAACACCAGAAAGTTACATCTTTGATGCAGTTTTTCAAAATCATACACATAATAGACAAACCAAAGACAAATGATGAATACTATTTCAGAGAATATAAAGTATTCCCCTTTCTTCTTTTGCCAAGAAAATACAATATTTTCACCATTTTTATAGACAAAATCAATTTTATTTAAGCCGGGAGTTCACGTCTCATTGTTTTCATTGTTCTAAATAAACACCTTTTCCCTTGAGTATTATTCTAAAAATTTTGCTCTGATTTTTCATGGTTGTGCTAGTGATATGTGAGAAAGAATACAGATGGCATTTAATTATGAACAGAAAAAGATGTTAAATATCATTAGTCATTAGAAATTTGCAAATAAAGACCACAATGACTTATTAATACATATATATATATATATATCAGAATGGCTAAAATAAAAACATCAAACGCTGAGGAGCATGAGTAAAAACTGGAGCTTTCACACGTTACTGGTGGGAATGTAAAATCGTACAGCTATGCCAAAAAGGAGTATAGTAGTTTCTTAAGAAACTAAAGGAACCCGAGTCCCCAGGCCCGCAGTCTGGGCCAAGGTCACTGGCCCTGATCAATCAGAATGGGGTCCAGGGGCCTTCCTGGGGCCCTCCAGTGTCCAAGGTGCCCTTTGGTGGCCTCGTCTGCCCCTCAGCCCCTGAGCACGCCCCTCTGTCCCTCCAATCGTCCCTGTCACAGGGACATCTGTCACACAGCCATGCCCCACCTCCTGCTTTCTGGAGATGCCAACGGCCCGGGGTGCTCTTAGCCCTGCCCTCCCCATCTCTGGGTCCTGACCAAGGTGCTCTAATGGATACCCCCTGACCCAGGTCTCAGGGAGCTGCCAGCACCCTGGGGTCCCCTGAAGCTGAGACCCAGCAAGACACATGCGGCCTGAGGCTCCCACTCTCCGGCTGGCAGAACCCAGAGGTGGGAGCACACTGGAGCGTCCTTCAGGGCGTCTTCACCCCATGAGAGGGCTGGGGGCTTTGGGAGTTTGCAGCTGGCAGGAGTGAGGGCCCAGTCTCCTATCTCTGATGCATCCTTGGTCAAGTCCTGTCCCTCAGCCTGCAGGGCCTATTGCGGTCACCAGGTGAATCTGTGTTCCCTCAGTCTGGGAGCCCCAG